TTAACTGTGGTTTGTAACCTATCCATTAAATTGGCTTCCATACCTAATGATTGGAAGATAGCTAATGTGACACCAATATTTAAAAAGGGCTCTAGCGGTGATCCTGGCAATTACAGACTGGTAAATCTATTGTCAGTACCGAGCAAATTAGTTGAAATTATAGTAAAGAATAAAATTGTCAGACACATGAATGAATATAATTTGTTGGGGGGAAGTCAACATGGTTTCTGTAGGCCAACAAACATGTGAACAAGGGGGATCCAGTGGATATAGTATACTTAGATTTCCAGAAAGCCTTTGACAAGGTCACTCGCCAAAGGTTCTTAAGTAAAGTAAGTTGTCATGGGATAAGAGGGAAAGTCTTTTTGTGGATTGGTAACTGGTTAAAAGACAGGAAACAAAAGGTATAAATGGTAAGTTTTCCAAGTGGATAGCGGTAACTAGTGAGGTCTCCCAAGAATCTGTCCTGGGACTAATCCTATTAAATTTATTTATAAATGATCTAGAGAAAGGGGTAAACAGTGAGGTGGCAAAATTTGCAGATGGTACCAAACTGGTCAAGATAGTTAAGACCAGAGCAAACTGTGAAGAGCTTCAAAAAGATCTCACCAAACTAAGTGATTAGGCAACAAAATGGCAAATGAAATTTAATGTTGATAAATGTAAAGTAGTGCACATTGGGAAAAAATAATCCCAACTATATATACAATATGATGGGAACTAATTTGTCTAGAACTACTCAAGAGAGAGATCTTGAAGTCATTGTGGATAGTTCTCTAAAAACATCCACTCAGTGTGAAGCAGAAGTCAAAAAAGCAAACAGTATATTAGGAATGGTTAAAAAAGGGATAGAGAATAAGACAGAGAACATCTTATTGTCTTTATATAAAACCATGGTACAACCACATCTTAAATACTGTGTACAGATATGATCAACTCTTCTCAAAAAAGATATATTGGCATTGGAAAAGGTTCAAAAAAGAGCAATAAAAATGATTATGGGTTTGGAATGGATCCCATATGAAGAGAAATTAAAAAGACTTGAACTTTTCAGCTTAGAAAAAAGAGGAGACTAAGTGGGGTTATGATAGAGGTTTATAAAATCATGACCAGTGCGGGAAAAGTGAATAAGGAAAAGTTATTTACTTATTCCCACAATAAAAGAACTACAGGTCACCAAATGAAATTAATAGGTTGCAGGATTAAAACAAACAAAAGGAAATTTTTCTTCACGCAGCGCACAGTCAACCTGTGGAACTCCTTACCAGAGGATGTGGTGAAGACTAGAATTTTAAAAGGGTTCAAAAAAGAGCTAGATAGATTCATTGAGGTTAGGCCCATCAATGGCTTTTAGCCAGGATGGGTAGGAATGGTGTCTCTAGCCTCTGTTTCTCTGGCGGTGGGTGACAGGGGAGGGATCATGTGAAGATTACTTATTGTGATCCCTCTCTCTGGGGCATCTGGTATTGGCCACTGCCGGCAGACAGGATACTGAGCTAGATAGACCTTTGGTCTGACCCAGTATTGCCGTTCTTATGACATGGACATTGGGAACTGAACCTAGCCCCCCAAATTATTGCATGCAGGTCAGTGGATCATCTTTAAATAATAGTAACTTTGGGCCTCACTTCTGTTTGAACTAGTTATCTCAAAGGAGAAGGTTACACAGGCCTTTGCTAATACTCTGAGCCACTGAGTTTTCTGGCAAAAGCTGAAAGCAACGTACCCTGGTTGTTTCAGACTTCCAAATAAATGAATCCATGGCTCCTGCTTTCCCTCCCAGAGCTAACTGACCTCAATCCCTTTGCTTTTTTTGAGAGAGCATATGAAACTGAAACAGCATTAGCAGGTAGAGCTGAAGATAATGCAAAGATGTAGAAAATATTACTGGTGTCCCAAATCCTAAAGGGCTCCATGGACTAACCCTTTGCAGCTCCTCGATGTGCACTCAGCAGCACTCTAGCTAACTCAACTGCAAGTTAAATCAAGCCATGAGTGACACCTTTGCAACCCCATTTGTGTCACTGGGTTAGCACAGCTGCAACTGATTGGATCTTAAACAATTTTGTTGGTGGACAGACTAGAATCCAACCCCCTGCCCAAGCTAGGGTAAAAGATCAGTAAAGACTTATTTTTGTCACTAGTCAGCAATCTGACTCTGAATATACACCGGGGGCAGATCTACAGAATAAGAAGGTGTCATTTTAATATAGTCACTTTTCAGAGTAGAATGGCAATTTCAGATCCATTGCTTAGCATCTCATAACCAGCTGTTTCCCTTCTAGCCGTCCTTTACAGAAATGCAAGCACAAAGCATTCATGCCATGACCACATCTACTCTTTTTCATAAACTGAACATGGAGAGATTTTCAGATCAAGTCAGTGTATTCCAAAAGGACACGGCCCCTAAATTCCTTAGGTATTTTAAAATATGTGCCCCCAATATGTGCTTCGTGATCACATTTTACTGTAGAAATGCAGCTGCATTGCTTTTTGTATTTTTTAATAAACGTCATGTTCCAACTCCTTCCACATTTTCTCCATCTAACAAAGATTCTAAAAACCTCTCTCTCTCTCTCTGAATCCATCTCCTTGCCCTTCAGTTTCTTTACTAGCACTTCCATTATTTCAGAGCTAGCCTTAGGGAGCCAGAAAACCAGGCAGTCACCCCAGGGGCACAAAACTGAATGCCACGTTCATGCTGTCAGGGCTTCAATCTGTTGGATTCAGTCATCCACAGCTGCCTTCATTCTCCTGCCGGCATGCAGCAGGGACTAGGATACTTGATGTATGAAGCCTGGAAGCCTCAACAGAACAGATTTGAGGCAGCTTAATGGAGCCAAACAGAGAGAGCAGCCAGAGGGACAGATGTAGGGTCCAGAATTAAAAATAAAATCATGCTGTAGGAAAAGAAAGGGAAATGCAGAATTTGGAATGTCCACAGCAGTAATTCTGCTGCATTAATCCAGCGTCTATGCCTTCAGTCCTCCTCTGTTCTCCAAAAGATAAGACCCTTTGCAGACCCTACTTTCCTTCATCATGTCCTCACCTATAGCCTGCAATGCTTTAATAGTACTCCACCCCGCCTTTCTAGGCAACAAAGTACCTCCCTTTCTCAGATTCAGCTTTCAAGACTCAGTTTTGACCCCTTTGTCCTAGTTGCTACTTCCAATTGGACACTTCCCGAGGTGCAGGGCATTTCAAAGCCAGACTTCAGTGGAGCTCTAACAGTTTACACCAGCCGAGGAGCTGGCCCTACATGTTAAAGTATTAATTCTGCTTTGGTTCAACATGCTGACTTCACTCAATTAAAAGTTCACAGCATTTAGAGTACTTTCTCCCCTCGGCACTCTCATCACTGTGAGAAGTCAAGGTCACCAGCAGAGCAGAAGTCACTAGAATGGCAAGGGCAAGAGATTCTATTGTAGCAGGTTCCACTGTGCTGGCACCTAATAAGGGGCTCTGGAATAGGAAGCAAGATATAAATGTATGCTTCAAGATGGATGAGAAGAATAATTACGTCCTTCCAACCCCCATAGATTCTTTTATTTATAATGGTAAAGCTCAAAAAAATAGTATTGTTTTCACATAGCTTCCTGGAGAGGGGAATACAGCATTGCATGTAACAATAATATCAGGGCATTGTTTCTATGGCTCGAGAATGCATGGAAATAAATGCCAAGGAATATATTTTTCTTTCCTGACTTGATTTTTTTTATATCCATTCTGTTCCTCATTTCCAATTATAGGCATACCCAAGTTTTGTGATAAGACATTTATCGGGACAGGCCCATATAACTGAAATATTATTGATAGCTATAGTTAAGGTTGCATGTCCTTGGATGAATCATACACTTTTCTGGCTAAACTTTTCCAGGTTTGGGGCTCTCTTAAAAACTACATTTAAAAAAATTAAAGAACTATTGAGCCAAATGATTCAACTAAGTTTGAAAATGAAGAGAGTAAAAAATACATTTTTCCAATTAATGAAAAAAGTATTTTGATCTTTAATTCAAAGAGTTTTAGCACCAAAGTGAGAAAGAACAGAAAGCTAAAATAATGCAACAAGAGAGGATTTGATGCATAAGCATGTTATGACTGTGATTTCAAGCAGCTTTTCTTATTTTAATTTAATTGTAACTATTCCTTATCTCACAATATCTGCCAATCACACCAAAAAGGATATTTCAAGGGTGATATGTCCCCACAGCTCCCACTGTACTCAATGATAGATGCAAGTGCCAAGTACCTCTGAGAGTCATGTTTACTTTAATTTAGGGGCTAACTATAGAAATCTACTTTTGAAAATTCTGACTCCATGTTTTAAAATTATGACCTTCTTACTTAGCTGACTTTCTGCTGAATCTGTGAGAGGACATCACAGGAAACTACAGGGATATTGCCTCCTGTGAGTGAAATCCCACTCCATTTGAATCAAGCGGAGTTTTACCATTGATTTTTATTGGGACAGGATTTCAGCCTTGGTGTGCTACTACAATCTTTCACTGCTGACTTTAGCTTTGAAAAACATGAGAAATGTATTTAAATAGTTAAACAAAAAAACCCACAGAAAATCAAAGATGACTTTTTCTGGCTGATGAGTCTGTAAATATTTTTTGCATTTATCTTTTTACTATGGTATTTCAATGTCAGGGGATTGTAATAACAGGATGATAATCATCATCATCATCATCATTATTAGATTGTACTGTTTAAAAAGAAAAATTCAATACTATAATAAATTTGTTCCATTTTCTCAGTCTCCCAATTGTCTTATTTTTTAAGAATAGGCAGAAATAAACTGAAAACATGAGAAAACAAAAAATAATCACTGAGTGTGTCATGCTACAATTTACCACATGGATACCACTTCAAAATATATATTAATGTGTGTGTGTGTGTGTGTGTGTGTATATAAAATATAAAGACAGAAACAATTCCAGACTGTGAGAATAGAGTTTTGTCTCCCTTCTTTCCTCTCCCATAGATTCCTAACCTACCCGTCCTCTGGGTCTGTTCTTTCGTTTTGGAATATCTTCTTCTAATTCTTCTTCCTCATTCACCTCATCAGCATTTTCATCATTTTCCAAAACTCTCTGCAGGGAAAAAATATTTTAGAATAAAAGACTATTGTCTGCTACAAGACACACAAGATCAATTATTATTTACAATTGAAACTGTGGTAATGCCCAAAATGTGCTCTTCAAACACAATGAGGTCTACAGTTCCTGCCCCAAAGAGAATACAGTCTAAAAAAGGTGAACACAGACCAAAATGGACACAAGAGGTCTAAATAGGTAATTAAAATTGCAGTTGTACTAATTGTCTAATGGCAGAATCCAATCCAACCATCTCCAATTCCTTCCAGTCAACACTTTCAAAAATTAGTCTGTTCTTCTCTCCCTCATCCTCATTTTCCTAGGGAATGGTTCCTGAGACATACCCAGTTTGAAGGGTGACCGCCCATGATACTAGCAACACAGTCTGTGGGGGTGGCGGGTACAGATTCTCTTCTGAAAGGCAATCTTAGAAGCTGTAGATTAACATTTCTTTCCTTAGTAGCCTACAATTTTCCCATTTAATAAAATATTCATTTTCTGACTTTCTAATGAACCTTGAAAATAATATCCTTCTGAAGAACCAGGACTATAAGTAGCTACACAGCGGTGGTCCTGATCTTGCAAAGTGCGGAGTAAATATCACGCCCATGGAAGTAAATGGAAATAGCAGTTGCTCATCCCCTCCATAATTGTGCCTAGGATTTGTAAATTTTTCATGTTTTTGTGAACTTAGGGAAGCATCCACAAAGCAGATATAGCACAAGGCAGTGACTGTGCAAACTTCCCCACAACACTGAGATGGAGCAAACTCCCACTGAGGTGAAAGGATTATTCAGTCTTTATGACCCACTCAGTCCTTAGCATCTCTGCTGAGAGAGTAAACAAGGGTCCACCCAGCATCAGATATGATGTGCCTATTCTTTAGAAGCTGGTCTGAAACCACTCAATCCAGTCAGAGAGGCCACCACTAAATCTTGAGCTGGAAATATCATTCAGCCATGAAATGGATTCAAACCACTGACTTAGAGGTGATAAAAACGTTGTATAACCTGTTACCAAATTCTGACCTAGCCAGTCTCCCAGGCCAATTTTAGTGAATAGCTGGTAAAGACCCAGTAGAAGGGAAATAGAAGCAGAATATGTTAACTTTGAGCCTTGTGCACCTTAGACATTGCTTGCTGGGGCTTCTGGGAGAGAACACACAGATTTCACTGACAAGACTCTGGATGGATACCACATCATTACAATATTAGAAAAGAAAAGTTCATAGCAGGAACAAGATGGGAATTATGACTCTGTCCACCCCTCACCCACCTGCATAGGATGAGGCGTGGCAGCCCCATGGAGGTTGCTTCCTCCTGAGCCCTCCCTAGCTGAGAGTAGCAAAATGTGCACCCTGCACAGAGGGAGTCTTACACATACAGGGTGTGTCTAGACTACCTAGTTTTGTCGACAAAAGTGGACTTTTGTCGACAAAACTATACCAGCGTCTACACTACCGCCGAGCCACTACCACTGAGTTCTGTCGACATAACGTCGACAGAACTCAGCAGTTTTGTCGACGCTGGTATACCTCATTTTACGAGGCATAACACCTTCTGTCGACAGAACTCTGTCGACAGAAGGTGTTATTGCCTGTAACATTGTGTCCAGACTACTGAGTTCTGTCGACAAAGCAGCTTGCTTTGTCGACAGAACTCAATGTGTCTGGACGCTCTTTGTCGACGGAAGTTTTGTCGACAGTATCTGTCGACAAAACTTCCGTCGACAAAACGCGGTAGTCTAGACGTACCCACACACACCCAATCTCCCTTACACTGTACATGGGCACAAAGGACTAATGATGATCTTGTCATCTGATTGTCCAACCATCCCTAAAATGTGCTGAAAGTGAACTGTGATTACAGTAAGTGTTGTGCAGACTGAATCCAACCAAGCTGTACTTGCCTAGGAAACAGCAGCAAGAAAAGCCTCTCACATGTTGAAACCAGCATCCATAAGACAGGTCACAGCACAGAGGGTACAGTTGAAGGCTCCTTGTATAGAAACTTCTCCCTTCCCCCCTTTGTAATGCAGTGATGCCAAGTCTGCTGTCAATTCCACTGTCTCTGAAGTCTGTTTCCTCAGGCTGATGCCGGGGATAACTTGGGAGCTCAAATTGCATAGCAGCATCCAAACGCACTCATAAAGATGCTGCACCATGACTTCTTGTGACCTTGGAAGCTGCTATAATAGAGTCTTTAGGGGATTGAGTTTATTAGAATCAGAAAGGGGGATGTGAAGGAAGTTTTTCACATAGACCTCGTTGTGATCATCAAAATGTTTCCTGTTTGGCTATTTTCCATCCCACAGAAAAGAAGATTCTCATTTAAAGAGATATAGAACAGGTTAAGCACCATTACCTACATTTTGGATGCACTAAAGTGTAAAGCATATGTCTTTCGAAAAATCAGTCACTTTTATTACATCCCAAGCTGGGCTCTCCAAAACTGAGGCTTCCAAAACCAGTAGTAACTTTTGCAAATGTAGATATGCACGTGTTCAATGTTCCATTACATGTGTCATTGGTAGCTGTAATCCTGCAGCTTTTACATATGTGACATTCCCGTGTGGCAACTCACAAGTGTAAGGACTGTAGGACTGGGCTCCAAAGCTATGCAGACTTGATGCTCATGATTTTCAGTTTTGTCCTCTGTTGGGCCATATATCTGAGTTTTGTTTCAAGTTTCAGGACTGAATCCCAACACTTGAATCTCAGCCAAAATCACCCAGTTTTGCTGGTTTCACATGATTTACATGACCATAGATCGGTGCATGTTAATTCAGAAACCTCCCTTGAACTCACTGAAAATTTGCCTCTACGTCCCTGCAAGATTTGCAAACCTCAGCAAAACTGGCCAGATTCAAAGGTTTGCATACAACTCTTCTAGTAACCCCTAAGGGTATGTCTACACTAGTTCATTAATTCGAGCTAGGTAGGCAAATCAGGCAACCGGAGTTGCAAATAAAGCCCGGGATTTAAATATCCTGAGCTTTATTTGCATGTTCCCGTCCGGCCGCCATTTTAAAATTCCCTTAGTTCGAATGAACTGTCTGCGGCTACACACGGCAGTTTAAAGTTAATCCGAACAAAATCCTTAGTTCAGATTAACTGTTACTCCTCGTGGAATGAGGTGTAACAGTTAATCCGAACTAAGGACTTAGTTCGGATTAACTTTAAACTGCTGCGTGTAGCCGCGGGCAGTTCGTTCAAACTAAGGGGATTTAAAAATGGCGGCCGGACGGGAACATGCAAATAAAGCCCAGGATATTTAAATCCCGGGCTTTATTTGCAACTCCGGTTGCCTGATTTGCCTACCTAACTCGAATTAACAAGCTAGTGTAGACATACCCTAAGAGTAGCAGTATCCTAGCTATACCAGAGACCAGCAACTAGATTTTATTTTTAATATTGGTGAATGATCAGAAGAAAACCCTTATTATGTAATATTTAAAGGGATAATATCAAGATATAAATCAAGTTTTCCCTACCCAAGCCTGCTGGGGGACAAAGGGGCAGTTGACCAGGGACCTGGTGATTCAAAGGGGCCCAGCAGCAGCAACAGCCAGAGCCCTGGCCCTTTAAATCATCACCAGAGCTCTGCACCATGCTCTCTAGCTGGCTCTGAGGGCTGGTGGGGGTGGAAGCATTGCCCAGAGCACGGTATGAGGGCTGACTTCCAACAGCCCACTCCTTCGGCCCAAGACCCCACCGACTCCAGGAGCACGGAGCCAGCCTCACACACATCTTGCTGTCGACTCCCTGTCCCTGCCTATGTTACTAGCAACAACTAGGATTGTTAAAGATGAAAGAATTTTATAAACATGTATGCTATTTGCTTTCAGAAATGATGTGTAGACAAAGAAAACAGACTGGCCAGTGCCACTTATTTAAACAAAATTAGTAGCTAAAATTTATGATCCAAATCTAAACTCTCCCAAAGCTTGACGCTATTCAGATCCAATTTATGATTTGGTCTCATCTCTTTCAACTAGTCAGATGCCATAGCTGACAATTTCACAAGTTGACATTGTTTCAGCATCAGGCTAAAGCCACCCTTTTTACCTGTGCTTTTATTGGTTGGTTGGTTGGTTGGTTGGTTTTGTGTGTGTGTGTCCCCTCCTCTTGGTGTGTCTTAGTAGGTTTTATGCCCCCCTGTTGAGATCTTTTATTCTACTTTTTTATATATTGTGTTTTAAAATTTTGTAAGCCACCTTGAATATTTTTAATAGAGAGGTGGGGTAAAAATATTTTTAAATAATTAAAATAAATAAATTGCACAAGATACTAGTGGTTTGGGTTTAGAGAATAAAAGGTAAAATCTTAAAGCCAGCCCGGTTGTCCTTGTATGGAGACATAGGATGCAGCCAACATAATGCTCAATCCACTGCTTTTTTACCTGGATTTCCTGTATAGTGTCTTCCTCTTTCGTATCCACTTTTTTCTCAATCCCTTCCCCACGCAGCAAAGCTTCCAGTGTGGTTCCCTCTGATGTGAACCCATCCTTCTTCAAAGGCAGATCAACTTCTGAAAAACAAAACAAAGAGATTATGTGTATATCACCTTCACACAATTGCACAGTGAAAGGAGCAAGAGGAGAAGTCGCAGGTTGCCTGACTTTTAACCCTATTCCCATCTTCAATAAGGCACAGAAGTACTTCAATTAACCTCCAAACAGTGGAATTATTTCTAGCTTGCTAAAGCTCTGGATCCTTTTCCATTTGCTATGCGGGGTTGAAAACATATCCCCCCTATATTATTTTATAGGGGGATAAAACAAAGCCCATTCTCAATTAAATGAACTCCCCACACTTCAAATGGAAAGAAAAGCCACACAGTTTTCTAGAGCAGGTAGATAAAAATAATAAGGTCCTCTCCCAAAAAATAGGAAAGGGATTTGGCACAGTTCACAAGATACTTGATTCTGTACAGGATCATTTTATAACAGGAGCCAAGAACCCAACATTCCACATGTAGAGAAAAGGGAGAAGAGAGATTATACAGTGGGAGACTGCTGAAAATAAATCAAAATAATTAGGGAATGTGAATTTCCAACTAAATATTAATCTTCACTTTTTATTATTTAGACCCAGAACCTACAACCCAGACATTGATTTCAATGGGACTACTTACATGAGTAAATATTACTTGGCATATGGATTGCAGAATCCAGCCCTTGTGAGGAGGAACTTAATTATAGTTCTCCCTCTTCCTGGAGCCTGAGTCACCTTATAAAAACCCGGAGATTTCTGAGGAACAGGGGCGGCCCATCCATCTAGGCAAACTAGGCAGTCGCCTAGGGCACCAAGTTAAATGGGGCACCCCGGGGCACCAAATGGTGGCGCAATATCATTGAGGGGTTTGGAGGTGGGGGTGCCGATTGCATGGTTCACCTAGGGTGCCAGTTGCTGGCAGCTAGTCTAGGGCTGCTCCTGCTGAGGAAGCTTGATGCAACATGGCACACAGGTGAAAGAGCAGAGAGTATTTGAGTTTTGGATGCTATCACTGAATTATGAAACAAGCACTATAGTCAGGGAAAATAAAGCATGAGTGGTAAAATATATGCAGGGAAGAATTCCACTGCCTACTTCATTTACATAGGAGTTTGACTAGAATAATCCCAGCCATCCTCTTTTTATGGGGCGCCTCATTGCCACAATCATCCTTGTCAAGCCTGCCTCCTTCTCTTCCAGGTTACGTTCCTCTTTCCAGGCTAGTTGGGAAGGAACTAGGAACCAGGGAGGATGTTTTACAGATCAATATCTGAAGTCCTGGTTTCACAGCTATGTCCCATTCTTTCATCTGTGTGCACCTTCATCTCATTGTTGTAGCCACCTTCTATCTCCTATTATATCATTTGATGCAGAGGTGTGTGATCTACTTTTGAGGGGAGCCATATGCCCCAGAGAATAGCAGTGATGTCAGAGAACCCAAAGTCATGGAAAGATGTGGTGTTCCCTTAAGCCAAAATAGAGGCCATGGGATTTACAAAATGATCTCTCAAATTTCTTGAAAAGGGTGGACATTAGCCAACCGCATGACCTACCCTCAACCAATAGATCACAGAATGTGGGTAGTAGCCACTGTCAAAACAATCCAACTCTTTGCGAGGAACCTGAGTACAAGCCATGCAGAACCTCCAACACTCTGGGGAAGGGAGGGTTCAGAAGAAACTCCCAGAATGAGACTTAGAATGAAAGCTGAAATACTGAGTTGACCACTTCTTATGAAAGAAAAGGCCAAGCTGTTCCATCAGTTTCTCCTGAATGGAGTTCTCAGCCTGCTCTCTGCTCCCGGACCATCTCCTCCCAGGTTTCACTGCTTATGATCCAGATTTTCTCCTATGATGCTTGAGCTGTGAAAAGAGGGAAATTGACTCCTAAAATATTCAGAGAAAGTCAGCTTGAAATTCCCTGAGTGAGTTTCTGGTCCCTCCCTCCTCTCTTCTTTCTTATTCAGCTGGTCCTTGAAAAGTGATTTAAATCTGGAAGCTAAATTGAGACATTTCAGAGTGGAAAAGAGGGATTTTAGTCCTGACTGAAATGCAGACTTAAACACAGCCTTCACTATGGAGTTGCTCTGGCTTCTCTATAATAACATCTCCCCGTGGTCCTGACTTGGTTTCAGTTTCTGTGCTGTGGTGCAGAAGGGCATTAGCATTGGTTTTGAACTCTCTTGAGACTGAAAACTCCAACTGGTCATCAGACATTTTGTAAGTGAAGGTGAAGCTTCAAGCAAACTCAAGGGCATCAGCAACACACATGTCCTCATGCTGACAAGCTACATCTCTCTCTGGCTTCTGATGCGCTCAGCAAACAAATGCCTTGGAATGGAGAATGGGGGGAGGGAGTTAAACAAATCCATATTAAACCTTAAACCAAGAATGTAAAGTGGGGCCTATCTGTTACAGAGAAGTCGAAAATTAAAATTAACATGGGGGATGCAGGGCTTTAAGGGCAAGGAGGGTAACTGCCTTCTAAAAACTCATTTGTTTGCTGTGGTGCTGTTACTTGCTACTGCAACTGCTACTCAGTCCTCCTCTAGTACTTTCCATCCTAGAAACTCAGGGCACTTTGTAATTTTTAAACTTCCTTCCCCTTGCAAGGTGGGTATTATCACTCTCTTTATAAAGGGGGTGACTGAGGTGTGATAAGTTAAATGATTTACGTGGAGCACACAGGGTGT